AAGAATGAAATCTGAAAGTTGACACAACTGTTCATTTATCTTTGTAAATGTAGTACACTTAAAACACAGAAGGGAAGGAATTCTTTCTCTTGCCATTCACTTTTCATAAATGAAGTTAGGAGGCCACACACAGGGAGAAAACTAAATTTGTGTCAGAGTGACTGTAACACCTGCTTCCAGGACAGATCACCACAACAGATAACTTCCTGTAATAAAATACCAGTTAGGTGAATGAAGACCCACTGCATCATTTACCAGGTGCATTGTGTCCACGTAGTTGCTTCATAATTCAGATGAACACAGATGTCAATAATCCTAGTAAATAAAAACCTCATGTGCAGCCAGCATCCTGATACCAGGTAAACAAACCCACAAAAGAATATTAACATAATTATTGGTATCATTGTCAAACAATGAAGAGCAGAGAAGGGAACATAAATAGCTGGAAGTGAAAGAAGTCTGTGCTACATTTTAAAGTCTCCTGAGATGCTGTCTACAAAAACAGGCTGAAGTTGGCTATGAGCATGATAGCATGGCAACACTGACTGAAGTCACCCTCAGGACCAATTCTTTAACACTTTCTTTGTTGAGGTAGCCTGTACTATTTTATAAATGTTTATTATCCTTATTTTACTAAGAAAAGTGGTTTTATTTCAAACATAATTTAAGTGTGGTAAGCATTATAATTACTTCCTCAGACTATAGTTTGACTTTTACAGATACCGTAAAGTCTCAATTTAATTGAAGCTTTTTCATGTGAGATGTTATTTGGTTTGTTTTATAAAAGTACTTGAAGTATGTGGTAAAATATTTGTAATTCAGTATATACAAAGGCTTTTGTTTCCTTGAACTACAAACAGATTATGGAATGTTTACATTCGTTAACTAAAGTGTTCTCCTAACTTTTGTCACTTCTAACACAATATGCCCTGTCTTGTGATCTAGGTAGTATCTCTGGTGCAGTTACTCAGTGATCCCTTCTATAGGACACTTGAAGGCTTCCGGATGCTGGTGGAAAAAGAATGGCTCTCTTTTGGTCATAAATTCAGTCAACGTAGTAATCTCACTCTCAATTGTCAGGGTAGTGGATTTGCTCCTGTTTTCTTACAGTTCTTAGACTGCGTGCATCAGGTAAGTCAACCTCTATCTAATTTTAGTTTACAAGAAGAATGCATAAATAAGTGCATAGATGCCACTATTTCAAATATTATAAATAATGGTTTGAGAGAAGACTAGTAAATTCCTTCTCTAGGCTTTATTAAAGCAAATGGATTTCACCTCAAGAAGAACTGGAATGAAAACCTAGAGCAGACTGACCCATCCACACAAAACAGACTAAGAGGGATGGTTGGCATTATGGATCTTTTAAGGTCATTTATGCAGAGATTACAAACAGAAGTTTTTTAAGCTTAAGACTAGCTTTCAGCAGTCTGGAGTACCTTTATTGAGGAGGAAAAAAATGATTGTTAGTACAGTGACTAGGCAGTTTTTAATTCCTTGTGCTTGATGATGAGCTTTGAAAAGAGGCCTTGCACTCCATCAGTTCCAGAAACAGCAAGCTATAAACCAGAGGGTCCTGAGATGTTCTTCTTTTTCTATATACTGCATGTTCAGAAGAAGATGAACACCAACAGTTACATCATATAGGAAGTTAGGTTAATTATATTACGCTCATTTCAGGTTAATTCTAAAGTCTGTCCTTTTCTTCCTCTCAAACCAGTAAATATAAATGATTTGCAGAGTCTATGCGAACATAAGATAGGAGCTTGCATAGTTCCTCTTCTACATATGTCTTTCTTTTCCCACTTCTCTCATTTTTCTTGCTGAAAAATCTGAAACGACTCCTGGACATTATTAACTTGTATCAAAATTTATGGGTGACTGTGTCTCACGGAAGATGTTAAAGCACCAGCCTTCTTACTGGGCACAGACATTCATAGTGAATACTTGGATGAAGTAGACCCTGAAAGAGAAGTCAGCAAGTGGACTTACTATGCTACCTGAAGCAAAGTCCGCAGATAAAATAACTTGGTAAACCAATGAAAAATGATCTTTAGATATCTGTGGGAGACTGATAATGAATGAGCTTATTGGAAGATGAGTAAAGGCTTACTGAAGAACATGTTGCAGAAAAGAAAGATTTTATTTGTATCCCAACATTAAACACCAGCAGCCATCATTATTGCTGTCTTGCAATTAATAAATAATATACTTGGAATTTGGTTTGATTCCTATTGCATTCCCCATTAGAAAACCATAGAAGTATTTGTCACGTCTCCTGTTTCATCAATCTATTTCCCAATGGATGTGGTCCTCAGGTCAATTTTTATTTGAAATGGGGAGATTTCTCTAAAGAGAATCAGTACTGCATTTTTCATTCAAACATAAGGTTACTGCTCCTTTTCTGAAGTAGACAACCAAATTCTTGGTGGAAATAGCTATAACAGGACAGAGTAGCCATGTCTTCCACTACTGAAACCCATCTGCTTGGTGGTTTGTTCAATTCTGTGTGTAAATCATTCGTGTGGTGCTGTACTCTCTCTGCTGTCAGATGACTTTTCCAAGCTGAAATGAGCTGACTGGATAACACTGTCTATTAGTAGAACGGACTAAACCTACTAAACATTACTGATTTCAAGCAGTAATGTAATTTTGAAGTGAATCCCTCCAGCATCTCCCCTTAACATTTGTTGATGCTGTTTTGATAGATGTGTACTAGATTTTTCTTGGAAGAATTTAACCCATAAGTTCTGCCTCAGGTATGTACTAAACACTCACCAGGTCTTAGAAGGATCTGAACCAATGATTCATCACTTATCTTACAACCATGGGGGGTCATCAACTCAACTGGACTAAATCTAGTCCAAATTAAAATAATAAATGTGTAGTATAGCTGCAAGGACCTCAGCACCAGCTGCTTCCGTCTGTTTGTCTACTCCTTTTGCTCTGAATTACTTGCTAACGTAGACATAGCTTACATCCTGTTTCTGACCCTGGAAACACTTTGCTCCAATTTTACTGTAATAAATCTTAGAAAGTTGGCACAAAGAAAAGCAAGGAAATTATCCACGCATACCTGTACAGTATTTTTTTCTTGAGTCCAGAGATCCCACCAACTTTGGAAACAAATGGGTCGTCCAGAACAAAGATAAAATTAAATGCAAGCATTTTGGTTTATTGTAATAAAATAGAATGTACCATGTTTTCTTCATGGCAAAATTCTTGGGTTTTCTTTAAGTTATGTTTAACACAGTCTGCAGGTCTAAGAACATGGAATAATGGATTGTAATCATCCTGGCTTTAAAAGTTAGGATGAAATGTTAAGTGGGATAAATCCATGCTGTTACCAACTGGTCAGGTATGATTTTGCCTCAAGCTGCAAAGTGCCTAAAATATTGCTGCTATACATGTGAATGTGTCAAGGAAATAGAAGAACATTGCCCTTGTAAGTCATCTCAGATAGCAGCTTTGATTCATGTCACGAGGTATCTGACTCTTCTCTATCTTTAAAAGACAATATAAAGTATACAAGTTATTAACAGATACATTTTACAGAAAGATCTGTATTTTCTGGGGTTTGGTGTTAAGCTGTGTTCACATGCCCTGGCTGCAGCCGTATCGGGAGAAAGATTACCTCCTGCAGGCCACCTGGAGCTACTCATCACTTCTTCTCTGGTGGAGATACCACCCTTCCAGTCTGTTAGCTAAGGGGTTCATGTGAACCTGTCTGCCTTTTCCAAAATTGTAGAAAAATTGGTAGGAAAGACCATCTTGTTTTGATGGATGTGGATTTAGAAGCAGTTCGGCAGGTCAATCTGCAGGAGGCAGTAACTTCTCATGAGGAAGGATAAGGCTGTCTAGCCAGTGTTATCTTCAGCCAAGAAAGACATGGGAACACAGTGTAATATTGATAAGATAGACCTGTCTGTTATTAGAAAAAAGCTTTAAGATGAATGACTTGCAGTCCTATTTAGAATGCAACTCTTGAGTATGTTTTCTAGAAATAGATTAATAGATAAGTCTCCTCACTCATGATGGCATAGTACTGACTTAAATTCTAACAGTATGATTGTAAACTCTAGGGAAATTACTTTTGAAAACAAATTAAAGTTTCATAGGAATTTACCGTGAAAAATAAATTTACTTAACATTTGTACTTGAACATTTCTGTTAAGTTTCATTGGTTTCTGTGCAACTTGTTAGACAAACACAGAATCCAATTAGATTGCAACTTGACCATCAAGTGTAATATATTATGATCAGTTTTTAAAAATTACCCATTCACTGGATATAAACATTTGGTCCTTTCAAAATATTTTTAACCATTATAATCTCAACATACTATGTGTGGTAAGAAAGCCACCACAGAGCCAGTATGTGCATTAAATGTCATGGGTTAAACTAAAGATACAGAGAAAACAAATGAAGCAATGACTCCTAAATTAGAACTGCATCATCTTGTAAAAAGTCATTGTTTATGCCAATATCTCCAGGTGTCAGCTGAATTATTAATGCAAAATCATTCTTTCACAATAGCAGCATCTGGCAGATAACTCTTGCTGCTTCTAAGACGGCTGAGTTTATGAAAGTGATGTCAGTGCAGGAAGCTCTTCTTATTTTTCTTCTGTATCTTTTTTGTAATTTATTAAATATAATTAAAATGGAATGATTTTCTAGAAGTGACTTCTTTTAAGCTCAATAAGGAGCTCTGTTACAGCACCCTGTATAAGAGGAGGTGAGTCTGCTACTCCCATGGTAGATTTATTCAGTTATTCCAGTGTTTGCAGGAGTAGCCTCTTAGTGGTTACTAGCACAGGACATTTTGGAGTACTATATTTCTTATTTAAACTAAGTAAATACTGATATATAGTAGGATTACAAAACCAAAATGTATTGGAAAACTAAGGAGGGCTGATAGAAGTGTAAGATAATTAAATACATTTAGGAGATATTTAAGTTAACAGGGAACATGGTGATTTGAAAAAGAATTCTAAGATACTGAGTTCTTTCAATCATAATGTTAGAAACACCAGTTGGCTTACTCAGGTTTTAAATGTTGATATATTATGGAGATTAAGCATTTTAAAAGAGGATGCAGGTGTAATTTTCAAAGATACCCTGTCCCTATAGACCTGTCTTTCTAGGGGGTTTGTGTTGAAATTGTAAAGTATAAAACATTGCTTCTAACTTAAATGTAAATTTTGAGTATATCCCTTAAAATCAATGAATTAACTGAAGTGGCATCAAAGAGTTACCAGAGAGAGACCAGCTATATTTAACCTCAACCTAAGTGGTTACATTGTCCACAGTCATAAAAATCTCTTTTTATGTTTATTTTTAATTGCTTAAATTAATACAATCATTTTCTCCTATGTTAAATTTCTCATTTATCACTTCTGAAGTTGAGTTGTATTTTATCAGGCGCTTTTTTCCTGCTAGCACAGCCACATTTTAAAGTTTGCAGACTGCACTGCAGCTACACAAATCATAGGTAATGGTAGTCACTTCACCTAGCCGTGTATCTTGCCAGTCGCCAAGTGCGATGAAATCAGCCACAGCCATTAAAACACAGACAATCACTACATTATTCACTTTTATCAAAGCAATGTTTTAGATTATAGTTGTTTTCACTTAAAAAGTAAATTATAACTTCTAGTTACTTCTAGTTCCAGAAATCTCAGAAACAGGAGCACTCACAGCACCAGTTCCAGGACAGGATTTCAGTAGCAGCTTATTCTTGTAACTCTTCAAACGTATTAAAATAATTATTGGACCATAAGTAGAAATTAGGACCCTGTATAAGTCATGTCAAATAGCTGAATGTAGCCTTTCCTTCTTACAGTGTATTAAAGAAAACTTCTCCTAACACAAGGAGAAAGAGTATACTAAAGTATTTGTATATGTGTGTATATGTGTCTAAATGCACACACACATGCAGAGCTTTTTGGATTTCAGCTGAGAAGTACATTGTGATATTTTTTAACAGAATTGGCATACTCAGATTACATTTTAATTTAATATATGCCAGAAAAAAGTATTTTTCTTCTTACAATGAGAACTAAGAAGTTACTTTGTGAAGTTGAAGTCTTGAATTTATTAGAGAAAAAATTTTGCCTAGCTTTCTTCTTAACAAATAGTGTAAGAATGTAGTCATTTGTATCAGGGGAGAAGTGGGGATAAAGTAAGTGGGTATACTGAAGTGAGATATCTTAAAGTATCTTAGCATTTTAAATGCCTAGCCACAAGCTAATGTTCAGGTATGATAACAACAAATTCTCTGACTGAAATGCCATGTATGTGTTTATAGGTCCTTTCAAGGGATTTTCCTGTCACTGTTGTATGTTCGGTAGATAACCTTTCCTTGCTAAATGCATGTTTTATTTTTTTTTAATTTAGCTGGTTGGGCTTGGTTTTTTTTCAGCTGCCACATGTGAAAAATCTAAACATCAGTGAGCTTCAAGTAGTCTAATACTAGTTTCCATAAATACTAAAAAAAAAAAAAAAGTTTCTCTCTTGAGGAACTGATAAGTACAGATTAGAAAGAAAAGATGTAACGGGGAAAATGAGAGTGGTGGGAATGGAAAAGACAAGACACAGGAAGATTGCAGAAATAAAAGTATTTTATAAGTTTGATGTGAAGCTAGACAAAGCACAGCAGGACGTATTTCAAATGTGAAATTCAATCAGCAGTTTCTTTTCTGATTGCACACTGTACTTATTCCCATTGTAATTCAGAATTTTCAGTTAATTATCATGCTTAATTCTAAAGGAAAGCTCACAATTCATAAACTTATTTGAGAAGTAAATTTTAAATTTGAAATTAACACACAAAATTTCTGTGACTAATATCAAGATTTTTAGAATCTTGAATTTTATATGCATATCAAGTATAAATATTAATAATTAATGCTAAAAATTTTGTGAAGAGCCAGCCGTCCCACGGTGCTGTGCTCTGATAATCTTGTGTTGTCGTCTTAAATATCTGCTCCTGACTCATGTTGGAGACATTCACCGAACTAGGCAGATTCCCAGCCTAACTGAGGAGAACAATTTAAGACATTACATAGTTTTTACTGTTTTAAAAGAATAATAGCAACATACCTCCTCAGTGGGGGGGGGTGGGGTGTGTGTTCGTACTGTAATATTTTGGTGCATATTTTGAAAAGGAAGAAATATGTGTAGACTAGCAAGTACTTCCGAAATTAGATGTTTCAGTAATGGTAAATGGAATAATATTTGCAGCATTATGTCCATACTTGTCCATTGGGTTCTGAGCAATAGCAAAAAGTCCACTGCAAAACCTTGCAATTAAAGTTTGATTTCCAGCTACAACCAGGAGTAGCATCTTTGCATCTTTGCCTATGAACTTACATGGCGTCTCAAGAAATATTATAAAAGATTTATGTCCAGTTTGATTACTTTGAAGAATCCTGGGTTTTGTACAGAGTGTAATACTGATTACTATACAGTACACCCTATCTGATTTGAAACATTCTTGCAGCATAGACATTAATTTAATTAGCTTTAAAATATTTTTAGACAAAATGTAGAAGGATTTGTGTGTGCAGACAAGATAGTTGCCTATGGATATATTTGTTGTCAGCATTCATCGGGGAATTATTTTGCTGTGATGTTTCACGTTATTATTTCTTACTTGTATTATGCCTTGGTATCCCTTCCCCCCCTCTTTTTTTTTCAGATTCATAACCAATACCCAACAGAGTTTGAGTTCAATCAATATTATCTGAAGTTTCTGGCTTTTCATCACATATCAAATCGATTTAAAACATTTCTTCTGGATTCAGACTATGAAAGACTAGAACATGGTATGTGTGATGTTTGTTTATGGATTGGTTTTGTAGGTTTTGGTATTTGTCTCATCAATATTTAGTCTACAAAAGTTTGCCTAGTTTGAGATGGTCCAGTAATTGCATGGTGATGATGTAATGAATTCCATTTCAGGAATATAAAGTAAAATAGAAGTGAAGAGCATGTAGAATTTTCTGAATTAATGTTTCCTGAGGCATGCCACTGATGGGACTAAGAGAAAGTGGAAGAAATTAGTGCCATGACTTAGGGGTTTTTAGCAATTTATCCACATAGTTCAGTTGCCCCTACTAAATACCTTATTTTAACAGAAACAAAAGTCCTGGGGAATCCTTCAGAGAGTGCTTGAAGTTTCAGGAAAGGAAAGCGTTTTTAGCCCATCTATCACATGCAACCTTACTGGTTCCAAGGCCTTACATACCCTCGGAGCCCTCTGAATCAGACTGCACAACCACAGTTAGAGGCTGGTTTTAGAACTTGTTCACTAAGCAAAACACTTACGTGCTCTGAATTTCACTGCTTTGTGGGGTGGTTCTCATGGCATATGGTCAATTTGAATGCTTTTCTTAAAAACTATACTAACTGTGGAACAGACTAAACTTGAGCAACCGTTTTATTTCAACAAAAAAAGTTAATTTCCATTCTTTACCTTCACTTGAACAAAAGCAAGGAGTTGGAGTCAATGACCTCCTGTGGTTCCTTCCAGCCTGGATTGTTACATGGTTCTACAATTTGAGGGGGCATTGTTTGCTTATTTAGGGGTAGTTTGCGCTCAAATAACATTTAATGCAATATAAAATCCTGTTTCCAGTAGTCTTTGGATAAACTATGTGTCCTTCCAAAGTCATTTCAGATAGCACACATCTATGGATAACTTAATAACATTAGCCTGATTTGTTTTCCCTGAAATGAGTTAGCAAGTAATTTCAGGTACAGCTGGCCCAGCAGATTGGAAGGGCTGGTAACTTTGGTAACCTTGGCATAATTGGTTAGCAGGGCTTGGTGGTCTGCTGAGTCAATGTAGCTGCAGGCAGAAAGGGACATTCATGAATTCACTCAAGTATTCCCATAAATGATCGCATCCAGAGGGTAGTGGTCAATGGCTTGATGTCCAGATGGAGACTGGTGATGAGTGGTGTCCCTCAGGGGTCCGTACTGGGACTGGTGCTGTTTAACGTTTTCATCAATGACTTAGCGAGTCCGAGTGCACCCTCAGCAAGTTTGCGGATGACACCAAACTGAGTGGTGCGGTTGACACACCAGAAGGATGGGATGTCATCCAGAGAGACCTGGACAGGCTGGAGATGTGGGCCTTTGTGAATCTCATAAGGCTCAACAAGGCCAAGTGCAAGGTCATGCACCTGGGTCGGGGTAACCCCCAGTATCATTACAGGCTAGGGAATGAAGGGATTGAGAGCAGCCCTGCAGAGAAGGACTCGGGGGTGCTGGTGGATGAAAAGCTGGACATGAGCCGGCAAGGTGCGCTGGCAGCCCAGAAGGCCAACCGTACTCTGGGCTGCATCGGGAGAAGCGTGGCCAGCAGGTCGAGGGAGGTGATTC